TTTGGCCTTTCATTTAGTTTTTTTGTTTTTTTGTGTGTTTGTTTCTGATCTTTAGAAAAGTTCCTCAATAAAAATGTCATATTGCAAAATTCTCCCATGGAGGTCTACATCATAACTTAGAATTTCAGTATGAATCTACTACTCTGTTTTCTTAAGGCACTGTTTCTATGACAGCTTCCTTCATGAAAGCAGGAGTTATTTTTTTATTTTAGCAGAAAAAGTATAACAGAATCTGTCAAGATTGGCCATGTATGTATGAGGTCATGATGTCATAACCTGGTATTGGATTTGGTGGAATATAACGTCAAGTCAGTAATTCAGACAAATACCTACTTGTAGTTCATGAAATGTCTATGCCCTCCAGCTCTGTTGTGAATAATAACCCAGTAACCACTGTATTTTGTGTGCAACATATGGCACGGCTGCAGGGAAGTACTCTAAGTGATAAAAATTAAAGGAAAAAAAAAAAGGTCATTCACTGTAAATACTTACCATCTGCTCCCCAAGCAGGGTGGCAAGCAGCATCATGATAGAAATTTAGGTACTGTTCCCGCCCAGTCATAAATTGTGAAAAAGAACAGATGATATGTGATTTTATAAGTCACTTAGTAAACAGCCATTTCTGAGGCAAAGGGTTTAATTCTACTGGGAGTTCTCTGCCACAGGCAAGAAACTAAACCATAATCCAAAGTCAAAATAGAATCATCCTTCTTTCATTTTCAATGTCAGAGGCCACACTGGTTGAATCACTCCAAATGTCTTCAATTGGATTGCCCATTCTGATGAATAATGTATTAGGCTACACCTCACAGTAAAAGACGGACAGACTAAAGTGCTCAAAAGGAAATAACATCATAGTGTAGTAAGAAAAAACATTCTAAGAGTGAAGAGTGCAGAGTTCAAGAGAAAGGAAGGAAGGAAGGAAGGAAGGAAGGAAGGAAGGAAGGAAGGAAGAAAGAAAGGCAATCTGTGTGTATGTGTGTGTGTGTGTGTGAGAGAGAGAGAGAGAGAGAGAGAGAGAGAGAGAGAGAGAGAGAAGTATAGAAGATTTAAAGATCGGGGTGCTTTGGGTGGCTCAGTCACTTAAGCGTCTGACTCTTAATCTCAGCTCAGGTTATGATCTCATGGGTTCATGAGTTTGAACCCCCAGCTCTGCACACAGACAGCATGGAACCTGCTTGGGATTCTGTCTCTGCCCCTCCCCCCCCAAAATAAATAAATAAACTTTAAAAAATTTAAAAAAAAGATTTAAAAATCATACACTGAAATATGGATATTCATTCTTTGAATGGTAAAATAACAAATAAGTTTTCTTTCCATCTTCATGATTCTCTGAATTTTAGGGTTTTATGCAATGAACATATATTTCTCGTATAATCAGATAAAATATGTTACATTTTAATAAATCATATCAGAACAAAGGAATTTAAATGGTTCAAGGTATTAGATTCCAGGAACTGGAAGAAATGTTTGTATGGGGGCTGAGAGAGTTTGAGGGATTCTGAGGCTAACTCTGAAGAGTCAGATATAGCATTTAATTAAGGCAGAGGAGAAAAGTTTATGCCAATCATGAAACCCAACAAATGAGGAAGTAGCAAAATCAAAATATACATGCATACAGGAAAGATATGCTAAGATTCCTTTCTTTATAAGCATATTTTATTTGAAACTAGAGCAATATTATTAAATTAGGTAATCAACCTTATTCACCACTTGGCTCTGACAGTGGACTTCCTTTACATATTGAGTCCACTCTACAAAATGAAAGAATTACTATTTTTTTCTTTTTAATTTTTTTATAATGTTTTTATTTATTTTTGCGACAGAGAGAGACAGAGCATAAGCAGGGGAGGGGCAGAGAGAGAGGGAGACACAGAATTGGAAGCAGGCTCCAGGCTCTGAGCTGTCAGCACAGAGCCTGATGCGGGGCTCGAACCCACAGACTGTGACATCATGACCTGAGCCGAAGTCGGACGCTTAACTGACTGAGCCACCCAGGCGCCCCAAGAATTACTATTTTTGAGAATACTCCATTATGTGGCAGGATCCTAAGGCAATTCCAATTGAGGAGTTCTCAAAAAGTTTCGAGTAACATCAGCACACTGAAAAGAATATCACTCATTTTTATGTGGATCAAATTATCAAGCAATTTGTTTTTATAGTCACATTCTATAAACTCTGAAAGCCAGTGAAAACAGAGACTTAAACTGAATGGCTGTATTTTTATGACCACACTTCTCTTCTTTATCACAGCTCACAGAAAAGCTCTCTCAGACTTTAGTTTTTGTGCACAGACCTGGGTCTCTTGCTGTTCCAACCTTAGTTGTTTCCTTCCCTTGGTTTCCTACAATATGAAGCATAACCAATACCCACCAGTTGGTGGTCTTTGCTTCTTTAATGTTCTATCAATGCTGACAATGTAAGGGGATGCTGTTGCTGCACTGAGCCTGGGAGAATAGCCACAGGAATCCTGTCTATCACACCTCAGATTGCCCCCGCAATGCCTAGAACAATATTATGCACACGGTAACATATCAATGCCTAGAACAATATTAGGCACACAGTAACATCTCAATATTGATTTTGGTCGAGTGAGTGAAAACAACTTTTCATTTCCGTTATACAACCTACATTTAGCGGAATTCAGAATAAAAGGGTTCCATTTAGCACACACTTCTGAAAGAGTGGTTTTCCCCCTGAGACTGTATCATAGCCTGAAATGACAGGGTTCTAGTACAGCTAGTACAGTTACAGGAAAGGGTATTCATTTCTCTTCACTTTAATTATTCATCTCCTGTTCCTGATTACTTCAAATTTGAAGATACTAACTTCTATGTTCACTTCCTGAAATCAGGATCATCTCATGTGTGTGTGTATATATATATATATATATATATATATATATATATATATATATATAAACCTGTAAGTTTCCTTCAGATGTCTGTGTCTTTAGGAAGCAAGAATGTGTAAAGTGCATGTTCCCTAGCTAAATATAATTTATTGTTTTGCATCTTCAGTTCCTGTTTTATCTTAGGAAATGTGTTTCTCCAATGATAGATTGGTCAGAAAATGCTGACATAATAGAGAACCACTCTGGGAATCCGCAAATTTGAGGTTGGCTTGTCAGTATCCAAAATAGCTTTAGCATATCATTAATCACTCAAAGGTATTTCAAAGGTAGAAAGAACTTTGTCAACCATTCATCCAGTCAGTGTTTCATAGTAAAGGTGAAAAAAGTGAGATCTATAAGTTTAAATGACTTCTGAAGAACACGTAACTAACAATTGACAAAATCAGGATTAAATGTAGTGATAACTGATAATGACTACTGTATAATCATTACATCATATTATTCCATACAATGAGAGATGAATAGTCAGTACATTTTTTTAAAAAAATCAGAACCTTGGGGCACCTGGCTGACTCTTCGGTTGAGCGACTGACTCTTGGTTTCGGTGCAGGTCACTATTGGTGAGATTGAGCCCAGCATCAGGCTCTGTACTGGCAGCATGGAGCCTGCTTGGGATTCTATCTCCCTCTACCTCTGCTTCTCCCCTGCTTGCACTTTCTCTCTCTCTATCTAAATAAATAAATATTGAAAAAAAAGTCAGAACTCTGAGACTAGGTTATTACTGAGCAAACCACCATAGCCTTTTCTAGTTTACCAATTCCTTGAGTGTAAGAACTGTGTCTTACACATTTTTTTCTCTCATATATTAAATATACCATCTAACAATATCTCTCAAACAGGACTTTTTGATTTATTACTTGATTAAATGGGTACAGAATTAATATGTAATTAGATAATTACTTATTATAGAACTAATAATATAGTTATACAATAAGAAATTGTTCTGTTACAGAAAATTATGCCACATACATTTTTGGGGAGGTAATGTGAATGATCAAATACATATATTATAGAATCCTAGCTCTGCTATATAATAGCTATGTGACCATGGGAAAATTAATTTTTTAAATGTTTCTTCCTTCATCTTATAATGGGAATAACATCTACCTCATGTGGTCGCTTTAAAGATTAAATGTGGTAGTCTGTGTAAGTACTTAAAGTGCCTTTATATGGAAAGTAGCCAATAAATATTGGTTATGACCAGCTGAAAAATGAACATAATCATACCTAAACCTTGGAAGTTTTTAGAATAGAAGCCAGGATTTAGACTGAACAAGAAAAACTTATCTAGCTGGGAAAATTTTTAAATCTGTCTTTATTTTTGAAAGAAAGCAATGGGAAATGTGTCTTTATCTGCAGCCATTCTGGTGCCATAGAAATAGCAAAATGCTACAAGAATATTGCAGTAAGGACAAACACCATGGGATATCCATGACTAAATATTTGTCAATGATGCTCAATGAATATTTGTTAATAATAATGAAGAGATTATTTTTCCAAATAGAATTCTAAGCTTAGTTTGCAGGGAGGAATATTTAAAATTCTTTAACTGCTAATGGGACACTTCTGTATCTATTTGCACAAATTTGTGCTCCATGTGAAACTATGTATTTTATAAATATTTGCATGGCTTACCCTAGAACTGAGAATAAAAACAGATAATACTCAAAATATGGCTGTCAATGAGAAAATAATGGCCATAATCTATTTTTTAAAGTGCTTTCAAGTGCAACTCTGTTTTAAGAAAGATGGAACTTGTCTAACATGATTGCAGACGTATCAATACTTTACTCAAAACTTAGCATGACAGTTATGATGGCAGTGTCTCTGAAATTACACACTAAGTTTCAAGCCTTTCACTATATCAGATAAGTTCAATCACACCTCAAATAATTTCCATTGCTGTGGATATCAGAATAACACATTTTTAGGTCCTCATGATTTATTGGGAATCTAAATGAGGATCTATCTGCCAAGTTGAACATGAAGACTTTCATAGAAAGTAAAATGCTAAGCTCTCCAAAATTCTATCACTATATTGTGATTATTTATGCCACCCCTTTATTTCCTTTTTCAATTAATGCAGATGGACCTTATGGACTTCAAGTTAATTCTGACAAAGGGCTAAAAGTAGGGGAAGTGTTTACTGTTGACACTGGAGAAGCCATCTTGTTTTACTGTTCTGCTGATTCTTACCCCCCCAACACCTACTCCTGGATCCGGAGGACTGACAATACAACATATGTCATCAAGCATGGACCTCGCTTGGAAGTTACATCTGAGAAAGTAGCCCAAAAGCCAACTGATTATGTGTGCTGTGCTTACAACAATGTAACTGGACGGCGAGATGAAGCTCATTTCACAGTCATCATCACTTCTGTAGGTAAGTGTGACATAAAAGGCAAGGATCCCAAGGAAACACAAATGCATGCTGGCCTTCTAATAGTCCAATTTTATACCTGTGTGGAAGAGAAAGCCATTGTGGATTGTTGATAAACGCTAAGAAACTCTCTTTCCTGAGTAAACTAATCCATGGCTTCTATGAGTCAAAGAAAGAAAACCCAAAACATAATGGAGGGGGAATTCAATTGTTAACTCTCAAGGACTATGAAGAAAAAGGGAATTCAATAAATGACTCTAAATATGCATTTATGCTCTTGATTTTACAAACAGGAACATAAGAGAAGCAGTTTCCTCATTTAAACTGGGTTTATATCTGCTATTGCATTAGCTCAGGTGAATAAATCTCAGTGAGTTGGAAATCTGGTTTTCCTACTATCTAATTTGACTCCTCTTCTCATTGTCTTTCATGGGCCTCCCTTCCTCTTTTATCACTTAAACACCTGCAATCTGTGGAAGTTCTCAACAAGGGTCTCAACACCTTGGAAACTACAAATTTTGTAGGTCTGTGAAATTTGACATTCTTTAGAAATTAATTCTAAATTCTTCAGAAAAATCTGATTTTTCAGAAAGCTTATTGATCCACAAAAAGTTAAATATCACTGCCCAAAAATGTATGCTTGTCAAATTCCCATCCTTTTAAGCCTTCTCTTCTCTGTAATATAATTTTATTTTCCTATATGATTTCCTTCACTCCCATGGTTTCATATAACACTGGTACATCCAAAATCTATATCTTTAAAGCTCTAAAACTGTATACTCAGTTACCTTCTGATTATCTCCAATTTGAAATACCAGAGGCAGTGTATAAGTCCAACATACCAAAACTGAACCATCTTCTTTCCCCCAAATAACTATTATTTCTGTATTCCCTGTTTAAGTGAATGGCCCTGTTGTCTACCAACCTAAACCAGAAAGCTAAATGCCACTCCAGACCCCTTTCTCTTGCTTATTGCTGTGCCCAGCATCCCATCACCACGTTTGTCCATTCTCCTTCCTTCCTACCTCTTAAACCCATTTTATTCTCTCCTTATTCCTTCTCCTTCTTTCCTGAATTTCTTCTCCTCTCCCTCTCCTTTTCCCTCTCCCTTTCCTCCTCCTCATCCCCCTCTTCCATCTTGTCCTCATCCCCCACCTTTTTCTCCTTTTGTTTCTTCCTCTACTACTTCTACTGCTACTATCAAGTCCTTTCTGGACTCAGCTTTTCACATAAAGACAAGTCAGTATCCACCTGGGGAACACCTGACAGCAGGCTTGGGCAGGGATGGGTGGCTGGGGTGCCTATTAAGTGGTGTAGGAACAAGTGAGCAAAAGGTAACACCAAACAATACTTTCTCAACTGATATCTTCTCTTTCTCTGTCTTTACAGCCCTTGTGTCTAGATTAGGGCCCATGATATAGAAAGAGTTAATACATTTTGTTGAATAAATGAAGCAAGAATATAATCCTTATAATTCTTAGGCTAAATGTTTTAGTATGTAGCTATTGGGCCATGTGCATCAAAATCACCTGGGGAGGTCTAATGATGTATTTTCATTAAGACACCTCAGACCTATTGGGTCAGGACCTTGAAGGTAGGATCTAGGAATCTGAATATTAAACAAGCACAAGTGTGGCAATTATGTGTTTAAGGTGTTTCTTTTTCCCCTATAGTCTTTTGAGCTTATTAAAAAGCCACCAAGAATTCTAAGACTATAACAAACTACAAATTGATAAAGAAAAACATAGTGGATAGAATCCCTCCATGATTCCTTAAAGTTGAATGTATTCATATTTGTGAAATCACCTGAATATATTGGAATTTGTATAACTGTCATGGTGAAGTTTTATTTTTTTATGTGAAGAAAATACCACACTGTCTAGAAAAGTGTTATCCAATAGAAATTTTTGCAGTGAAGGAAATATTTGATCTGCACTAGCCAGTATGGTAACCACTACCTTCATTTGGTTTTTGAGCATTTAATTTTTTTTAATGTTTAGTTTTATTTTTGAGAGAAGGAAAGAGAGGGCATGAGTGGGACAGTGGCAGGGAGAGAGGGAGACACAGAATCAGAAGCAGGCTTCAGTGGCTTTTGAGCATTTAAATTTAGCTTTGCAACTGAGGGACTGAATTTATGTTATTTATTAAATATTTAAATTTTATTTTAAATTATAAATAAATTAAATAGCCACGTGTATCTGGTGGCTACCATATTGGACAATGCAGCTCTAGAATTTTTACCTGAGTTATGTGTCATTTGGGAAGTAGATAATAATTTATTTCCTTTATAGCTCCCCAAAGCGTATCTGTGTTTAGGGTGCTCTAAATCTGACACTCATTTATTCATTATTTAGCACCTAATATTGGCCAAATACTGGGGTAGGCATTGAGAATGCCAACTGAAAAAAAATTCCTGCTAACAAAATGACCACAGCTTAATATACACAGCAGGCATATGAACAGCTAAGGTGCATCATTTGCTTTCTATTTTATTAAAATTTTATTAGGATTAACCAGCTCTTAACCTCAGTGGCTGACCAAAACATAATTTTAAAGCAAGCCATAATTAAGCATATAAAGTAGTTGACTAGCAATCTGGGTGTCATCTTAGACTTGTTCCTTATGCTCATTGCAAATGAAAACATAGCTCCAATATGTAGTTGTATACAACATTGACAACTTTCACACTGCCTGAACGTTCTCCATTAATATTTGGCTAAGGTATTTTCATAATATCAGAAGCCCCCAATATTTGATTAAGATCTTATTACTGATGCCCAAAGACAGCTACAGTCTTTATATCAAATAATTGCCTTTTGCAAAATATAAAAAACCTGTTTGACCTGTACAAAGACCAGGTATTTGTTATTATAGTAAATAAGAAGAGCAGGTGCTTATTTTTCAGAGGGATTCAGAGTTGTCAACATTAGTGACCTTTTTGTGGTTTTTAGAGCTATTTTTCAACTCCTATATGTCCACAGAACTTTTACTCAAACAGCAACAAATGCCAAAGAAAATGAGTAGTATTGATGTGTTTTAAGTATTTGATTTTTTTTAAGTTTTCCAAATTAATGAATCTCCGCAATGGAGATTAAATATACACTAACCTACAGTGAAAAAATGAACATCACCTGTAACTACCATTTGAGCACTTACTGATCATACACTCTGAGAAGCAATCTATGTTAAGATCTGTAGAGAATTTTGAGGGATAAGATACCTGCCTCTGAGATATTTTCAGAGCCAAGTTGTGTTTGGTGTAACCAGAGTCTAGTACTAAGAAATAGATGAACGTTTTTGTTTTTAGTGAGGCACATAACATGGTGGCCAACCAAAAAGTTTCAGCAAAAAGCTGTGGAGGGCAATGGACAAAGGAGTCAAAGATGACTCCAAGATCACAAATAAGGAGTGATGAGACCTCGGGGCTATGATTCACATCTAATTTGAGACATTAATTGACCTTTCTGTCTCAGTGGAGATATACTACAGAAAACAGGGACAATGGGCAAGGTCACACAGCTAGTAAGTCATAAAATAATATCTGAATTCAAAGCCCTTGTTTTAATCATTATATAAACTGCCTCCCTTGACATTCTTGACTGAGAATATCAGTAAAACTATGGTCTTTCTAGAACATATACCACATATCCAGGATAGTGTATATTTTCTCATCACCTTACCTAACTTTGTGCTATATACAAAGAGATACTCTGGTTTGTCCATGACATGTATATGCTTTCATATTAATGAGAAATTATGAAATACCTGTAACTAAAAATAATATCTAGAATATAAGTTTCAAGGAAACAATAGCAATTAAAATAATACATTAGCATTTGTATTTGAAAAATAAATGAGTTTATTTCTTTGATTAAGGACTTCCTTGAATGCAGATGTCCATGATTTACAATTTTAATGGGGTCTAAACCACTATTGTGACATGCAATATATATAAAATGAAAGTTTATGATGAGAATTCAAGTGTTCACACTTAATGAAGATATTCAAATATATAAATTATTAGAATTCCCAAGAACCACATGGCTATAATTCAGAATTTAGATATAATAGAAATGTCTTGAATTTGTATGTGATCCTGAGAAATCTATCACTTTGAGAAAGAGAGAAAGAGAGAACGCACGTGCGCACACGTGGGGGAGGGGCAGAGAGGGAGAAGGAGAGAGAGAGAATCCCAAGCAGGCTCTGCACCACCAGCATGGAGCTCAATGTGGGGCTTGAACTCACAAACCATGAGATCATGACCTGAACCAAAGTCTGACGCTTAACTGAGTCACCCAAGTGTCCCTATCATTTTTTTATATTTATTTCTATTGTACATCATTTCATACAGAAGAGAATAGGAAAATGACCCAAAGTAGGAAAATGAATTGACTAATTTCTTCTACCTAGAAACTTCTCATGTTAAGATCTTAAGGAGACATATTTCACTTTGTGCCACTGGAGAAAACAGCTAAGATAGAACTACAGCCCTGACATCCAGACCCTAAGACCTTAGACATCCCCATGAGCTTTTAGCACAGAATAACTGTGTCAGTCAGGTGGAGCCATGGGAGAGTATAGAAACAGCACCCTCCCCAATATGGGGCTTTCATCTCTATAGGGACAGGAATCAGCTGTCATAATCAGCAAGCAGACTGTCTGGGAGAGATCTCAGAACTCCATTCTGATCTCAGAATGGACGAGCAGACTGGTGGCATATGGCTGCCCTGTTCTGGGTGCAGTCTCTCAAACAGCAGGGCTGTGATGCCATGGAAACCACACCTCTTGCCCATATTTGCACTTAATTATGTTATTTCATTTTATTTGTTTGCCTAAGGAGGGGGCAAATAGCATTTGCAGTAGAGCTTTGGCAAATGAGTCAATCATATTTAAATAATGAAGAGAATGGCATGCTATGAGCTAAACTGTAGGAAACTCTCTAAAAGAAAGAATGGGGCTCCTGCAAGTGTCTAGAACTGCATTCAGAATTCCTATACATTCTC